TTACTGGCAAGTTCAGGTGACAGGACAGATCCAGTGTCAGCTTCCTCTGTGTCCTGCAGGAAGGCTCAGGCCTTGCGGAATCCCCCTCTGTGAGCTTCCCCCACCAAGGACTCCAGCATAACAAAGTTGCTCACAGGGCCCCTGCTGTGTGCTAGGCCTGGTCTGGGTACTTTGCACTACATTTGATTGACGTTTCCAGTTGATTCTGCAAAGGAGGTACTAGCTCCATTTTATAGATGAGGAAACTGAGGCTCAACAAAGGGTAGTGACTTGTGAGACAAAATAACAGAAAGAAAGAAAAGCCTCCTTCTTTTCCAATTTGACATAAATCTTCTTGGGTCTCATTTCAATCTTTAATTATAATTAACACACAAACTTAAGGTTTCTTCATTCATTCATTTGTTCAACAACTGTGTGTTAAATACCTACTATGTGTGAAGCTGTTCTGGATGTTGGAGAGACTGCAGTCAGTATGACAGAATTCCCTTCTGTCTTTTGGAACATTCCAGTGCCTGAGATGAACAGAGGTGAGAAAAGTACATATTATCGTGGAAGGTCGTGCTGAGTCTGGAGATGAATAAAGCAGGACAAGGGATAGAGAGTCACCAGAGAACTATTTTCAAAAGGGTGGTCAAGAAGAGGTCCTGTGGGGAGGTGACACTGGAACAAAATTCCGTATCTCTTTACGCTTTCCTTTCTATAAAAGGGAGATGCTAGACTCAAGGAGTTCTCACACTCTGCGGAGTGGGCAGGAGGTTTTCCCATGGGGTTGTGGCTTCACAAGCACCATGGTATGGGCCACTGTAGGTTGGAGACATTTTCTTTCTTCCCCTTCTCTTTGCCCTGAGCACCTCTGTCCAAGGAACCCTTAGGTTAGGGCTTCTCAACTGCAGTATTGTGTGGTCAGAGCATACGACTACATATGGACTGGCTGGGGAAAGCCTAGGGGTCTGGGAGGAACATGGAAGCCTTCCAGCCAAACTGAAGGGTCAAGAAGCTTTCTGGGTGAGGGAGACCTGTGGGGACCTGAGTCACTGAGCCCACTCCAGGGCAGGTGGGGACCACCTCATGTCTGAGTTGCAGGCATTTCTGTTCAGCTGGGCCCAGAACTCAGTGACAAGCAGGTGACCTGGCCAAACCAGGCAAAGGTCAGGTGCCCCTGTATCCGTGGCCCTAAGCCTCTTCCCTTCTGTGGGACTCAGTTTACCCATCTGTAAAAGGCAGAGTTTGGACTGTATACTCTCTGTAGACCCTTCATCATTAACCACTTGCTAGCCAGTACATTGCTGTTGGTATTGGAAGTGGATCTGAGCCCTGGGGGTCTGAATTTCCTGTGCTTCAATCCAAGTCTCCCTTGGACATCTGGACTAAGGGTAAAAATAAATGAATGCAGGTGATCCATTGACCTTTCAGCAGGGGTCTGGAATGGGAAAAAGCAAGGAGCAGTTGCCCCCTATGACCAGGACTGTCCCACCCCAACCCAAGCTGGACATTGTGAGAAACTTACCTACCATTCATCATGCTCTGGGGCAAGACCCCTTCTGAACGATACCGCTGGCATGAACAGGCCAGAACCAGGGAGCTGTTTCCACAGAGGTGGGGATGGGCTGCAGTTGGCCATTCTCACTCCTCAGCTGAGCCACCTCCACTTTTCCCCCAGTACTTCTTGGGGCAAGAGGCTGAGATGTGCCTGGTATAGACTGAGCTGACACATGGATGGAGGCACCCAAGACCTCTGGACACTAGGCCCCCTGACCACAGAGCCCTGGGCCACTGTAGCTGCCCTCCACTCTTCATTCCTCTCTACCCCTTGGTCTCTGCCCTATTTAGAACTCAGCAGCGTCTTCCCATCACATCTAGAATACAGTCCAAAGTTTTTTCACATTATCCTGACTGCCAAGCCCTCCTCACTTGCTTCACTCCAGCCACACTGGCCTCCTTTCAGCTTCTGGAAAATGCTCATCTCTTTCCCATCTTAGGGCCTTTGCACATGCACATCCCTTGGCCTGGAATGCTCTTCCCTCAGAACAGAACATGGATGGCTCCTTGTCACTGAAGTCACTGCTCAAATCTACTTCCTCAGAGGGGTCTTCCCTGATCCTCCTAAGAAAAGCAGTCCCTCCTGTCCATTTGTTGTTAACAGGAAGTCCCTGTTTCCATCACAGCCCTTTCCCTAAGCTGTAATTATTGATGGTCGGCTTGTTTAATGGCCATCTTCCCGACCCATCCGTGAGCTCCGCAAAGGCAGGACCTTCAGTATCCCATGGCTATATCCTCAGCACCTGGTACATAATGACTGCTTAAGAAATGATTGTCGAATGAATGAAACACAAAAAAGTTATCAACAATGCTCATCTTCCTCCTTGAACGCTTTGCAGCCTCTGTGAAGGAGAAAATGGCATTTACTGGGCATCTGTTATATGCCAGGCACTCTCATATATATTATTCTGTTGAATATTTACACCCATGACAACCTGTCCATTACATAGATGATGAAGTTGGGGTTCAGTGACCAGTCTGCAGTCACATGGCAAAGGATGGACTGATGGATTCCTTAAGCTGGGAAACAACCAACTTTGTGGGCATGAAGAATGCCATGGCAAATAATAGTCAGGATTCAATTCCAAGTCTGTTTGACTCTACCCAAAGCCTATATTCTTTTCCCTACACTACACTATACCTCTGCCACACTAGAACTCAGCCCAAGACTGACCACCAGGTTTTTAGGTTCCAAAGGCAGGTAAAGACCCGGATTGCATGGAGAGATGGCCTGGCTTAGTGGTTATTGAAGTGGGTCTTGGAACTAGATAAAGACCCAGGTCAAAGGGGAGGCCCCATTACCTTGCAACCAGGGCACCCCTGCTGGAAGTGATCATTAGCATTGCTGGGCTAGAGTACCTGTGGTCTCAGGAAAGAGTCAGCTGTGGGAATAAGTGTCAAGGGATGTATTGGAAAAGTCAGGATATGAGCATTTGAATCACAGAGAAGCCCCTGAACTGCTGGGGTTGGGTGGACTTTGGGGGGTACCTTCCCTCTCTGAGCCCCAGTGGTCATCTGAAAAATGGGCATGCCAGCATGAAATCATAAAGAGCTCTTGGGAAGATAAAGAGGAAAAATGACTGTAGAGTTGTTGGTGTATATAAAGTAACATGGAAATGTAAATTATCTAAAAATAAATCTCTTATGTGAAATGTAGAGAGAGGTTGGGGCCTCTCTTGAGAAGACCTCTTGGGTTCTCTCATCATTTATTGGCACCTACTGTGTGCTAGGTGCTGTGCTAGGGCCTGAACATATAGGGATGAGTCAAACATGGGCCCTGAGCATCTGTAGCTCCCTGTGGAAGTGAGCCAGGCCCATACAATGTGGGGATTCCTCCCAGCAGAATGGCAGGGGGAGACTTCATGTGTGATGTGGTAACAGAAGCCAGACAGACCTGAGCTGAAACCCCTCTGTCATCCCTGCATGAACTTGAGTAGGTCAGGTCAGTTCTCCAAGCCCTAAGCCTTCATCTGTAAAATGCGCTCCTCCCCTCTGCCTCTCAGAGTTGCCAGGATATGGTACACTGTTGGTCCCAGGGTTGGGGACCTTAGGGTAGAGGTAGCCAGGAGTTCCTAGGAATAATATGGCCCTGCATTGGCTAAAATCTGGGCCTCAGGCTTGGGTGGTGACTTGCCTGAAGAAGTGGCCTGGGGATATGGGGGTGGACCCCAGGGAACAGCAGGGAGAAAAGCAAAGTAATTTCTCACCACCTGTTAAGATTGGAGGGCAAAAATCCTGGGGAATGGGCCTGTGCCTTTATTTATGTCAGTAATTTCATTAAGGTGGAGGAGGTTTGCTCTACCCAAGGTCAGCCCTGCCTAAGGAGGAGGGGGATGGTGGGGCCACCTGAATTTACTCAGCGAGAGATTCTAGGCCTAGGTGCACCCAGGAAGGCAAGGTATCATAGTATGAATTTGTGGGCGTGTTGAGTGTCGCCTGAAGCCCCGGTGGGGTTGGCCTGAGTGACGCCACCACCCAATGTCAATGACTTCCCCGGGGCCTGGGACTGTCCCGGAGCAGAGGCCCTGGCAGATGCAAGGCCGGCCAAACTTCGGGGAATTCGGGGTGAGGTGAGAGGGAAGTTTAGGGGCCCCGAAGGGCAGCGGTTTGGGGTTCCCCCGGGAAACACTGCTCTTCTGTTGCCGGCTCGCACCGGAGAGATCAGGCCAGTTGCGGGAGGGAGGGAAGGAAGGCGGCCTGTCCAGTACAGCCCGCGCCGGGCTAAAATAGGGTGGGGCTGCCCGGGGAGACTGGGACAGGACGGGCGGGGTCTGCGCCCTACTCTCTGCGAGATCGCCAGGTCCCGGCGGAGCGCGGCCTGCGAGGCTCCGGGCCAGGCCGGGCCAGAGGGAACTCGGTCCCTAGGCTGGGCACTGCGCGCCTGCGGCTCCTGCACTCCCGGCGGCTGCGGGTGCGGCAGCCCCGGCGCCCCCAGGGGCCGGGCCGGGGCGGGGTCTGGGCCCCGCGGGCGGGCGCAGAGGTGGGGGGGCGGTGGCGAAGGCTGCGACGCTCTAACAGGTGGGATCCCGCGGCGTGGTGGAGGCGGACGCGGGGAGGAGGAGGAGGAAGAGCAGCGAGCGGTAGCGGGAGCTTGAGCAGGAGCAGGATGAGCCGCGCGAGCTGACAGCCACCGCCGCCGCCGCCCGCGCCCAGGCTCGGTCTCGCTCCCCGCGCCCGGAGCCGCTCCCCGCCTCCCGCCTCCCCCGGCCGCCCGCGGGGCGGCCCGCCCCCTCTGCACCTCCGGGCCCGGAGCAGCCTCCATCGCTCCCGCATCCCGGCCGGGGGGAGGAGGAGGCGGAGCAGGAGGCGAGCCGGAGCCGCCGCCGCCAACGCCGCCGCCGCCGCCCGAGCAGGACAGAGCGCGCCGCAGCCCCGCGCGTCCGGCCGCCGCCCGTGCCCATCAAGCAGCCGCGCCGGAGCCACGCCGCGGGACAGTCCGGGCTGCGGCGCGCCCCGGCCCGGCCCAGCCCAGCCCAGTCTCGGCACCGGGCGGCCCGGCTGCCGGCCCGCCCCCGAGGGCGCCGGGCGCGGCGGGAGGATGCCGAAGCCGACGCTGCTGCTGCGCGGGGGCTGGGAGCGCGAGCGCAGCCCCGGGGACTCGGAGCTGGGCCGCCAGTTCCGGGACTGGTGCCTGCGCACCTACGGCGACTCGGCCAAAACCAAGACGGTGACACGCAGCAAATACCAGCGGATCGCCGAGGTCCTGCAGGGCGGCGGCGGGACCAGCGCGGGCAGCGGCCCGGCGGCGGGCGAGAAAGGCAAGTTCCAGTTCTGGGTGCGCTCCAAGGGCTTCCGCCTGGGCAGCGGCCGGGAACCCAAGATGGGCCAAGTGGTGTATGTGCCGGTCAAGACGGGCTCGGTGAGTGCGCGCGCGGCGGCCGCGGGCCGGTCCCGCCGCGGGGCTCGGGGCGGGCGGGGGCGGGCTGGGGGTGTGGATGTGTGTCCGAACGTGTGTCCCTGAGGTTGTCCCTGAGTCTGGCCCGCCCGAGACTCACGAGTCCCTGCTCGCGCGCCCGCCCGGGCCGCCCGGGCAGCGCTCCGGGTTCGGGGCGTCCCTGCCCCCCTCTGCGCTGCTGCTGGGGCTGTGTCTGTGCCTGGCGGGCTGTCCCGGGTTGCTCACCCCAGCATGTTCCGTCCTCCCGTCCCCTCCCCCCGCCAGCAGGCGGCTGCTCCGAAGCCCGAGTCTCCCCCCCACCCGCCCGCCCCGGGGCTGCCTGTCCCGGGCGCCTCGCGCTCCCGCCCCCGGGCCGGCTGGGCGGTGTGTGTGGAGGGTGGTGCCGCGGGGGGAAGGGGGGGTAGGGGCAGCCACGGGACGGGGAGTCCACTTGGCTTCCCAGAGCCAGGGGAGGGGGCCTGCCCGGGCACAGTCTTCCCGACCCCACCCGGGGCTGGCCCGGGGAGGGGCGGCCCGAGCCGCAGCCTGGCGCAGGAGCAGCCTCGTGCGGGTGGGTGGGGCGCCCCCTCCGCCCCCCGGGCCCCTAGCTCCCCCTCCCTGGGACGGGGGCGGCCTGACCTATCCATCCCCTCCCCTCCCCCGTCCCCGGGGCCGGCCCGGTCCGGGAGGGGTGGCTTGGGGAAGGGGGCGGGGAACCGCAGCCGCCTGGAGGGAGGAGGCAGGCGGCCGGGCGGGGGCGTCCCCTCCGGCCCGGGGCGCCCTGGAGAGGGCGTGCGGCGCGGGCCCCGCGGCTCCCCCGCCGGGACCTCATTGTTCTGCAGCGGGTGGGGGCTGGGGGGGTGGGTGCTCCCGGGGCGCTGCTGAGCTTTGAACTTTCCGTCGCGGAGACCCTCCATTAGTGCGTTCAACCCCTGGTAGGGCCGGGCAGAGCCGGCCTCCCTCCCTGCCCCCCTCGTTCCCTCCTCGGCCTCGCCCGGCCCGAGCGAGCGAGCGGGGCCGCCCCGCGCCGGCCTCCCTCCGTCGCTCGCTCCCCCGCTCCCCCCTCCGTGCTCCTCCCCCGTCCGGCTCGCCCGCCCCGCGCTCAGCCCTGTCCCCGGCCGGAGCGGGCTCTTCACACACAATTGATTCGGTCGTTACGAAAAGTGCACTTGTCCCCTCCCCCTCCCCCTCCGGCGGCCGCCCGGGCCCGGCCCGCCGGGTGAAGGGGCCGTGCGGGAGGGAGGAAAGAGCCAGGGAGCGAATCCGGAGGCGCCTCCCCCCGGTGCCCAGGGGACGGGGCTGCAGGCCGCGGGGAGTGGGGAGCCGTGAGCACGGAGGGCGGGCGGCCCATCTGCGAGGAGCGCTGATAACCGCGCTGCTGCCGCTGCGGCCGCCAGCAGCCCATCTGCGCCGCTGCCGCCTCCGGCCGGACCCAAAACAGGGGGCCGGACGAGGGGTGCGCCAGGGCCGCATTCCCAGAGGGGGAGGCTGGGGCAGTGTCTCACCCCGCGCGAGTAAGGCCCCCCTCCGCCTAAAATTAGTGCCCTCCCCCAAACACAAGGAGTCTGGGTCATTGTCCCCTCCCCCATCGAGTCAGGGACCCCCTCCCCCAGCCCAAATCAGTGCCCACTTTCCCACTTGCAGAGTATGGCTCATTGCCTCTTCCCAGTTTAGGTCGGCCCTCCCCACCCTGCCAGTTCTGTACTCCCACTCCATTCTCCCTATCTTGGGCTAGTGTCCCCAGCCTAAGTGTGGTTTTTGAGGTTAGTGTCCCACCAGATGGTTGGCTAGTCTGTGGCCACTACCCTGGGTCAGTGCCCCCAGCCATCCAGGCTTCCCAGGTCAGCTAGTGCCCCCCACTCCATCCTCGTTGTCCCAACCCAGGGAGTCTTGGTCTGTGGCAGGAGCCCCCACTCCACCCACTCCTGGAGTTGGGTGGCAGGTGACCCTCAGACCTGGCATTTGGCCCACTGGTTCTCTGTGTGGGTCAACCTCTCCCCTAGGTAGTGGGCATCACGAGACAATCTCCCGACCCTCTTAGCTGCACAGCTGTCAAGGCGGAGCAAGCACACACACACACACCCAGGCCACATGCAGAAATCAGGTGGAAGGCCTGGGCTCCAGGTCCTGCCAGTCCATCCAGTCTCTTCAGACCCTGTATGAGGTCCATGCTGACCCCTCTGACAGCAGGGGCTTCAAAAGCCTGCACCCTGGCTCCCCATCAATAATAAGCCTTCCCTAAGGGCCTACCTGCGAGGCACATAAAGGGGACCCAGGCATCCCTGCCCAGGCTTCCAGCAGGACGACAAATGCAACAGACCAGACGTGCCCTGCTCCGACAGCCGGCCCCTCCAGCTTCCATGCCCACCTTCTTGGCCTGCTGGTCCCTAGAGAGGCTGTTAGTTACCTACCACTTGCCCAGCCAACTAGAGCCAGCCACAGGAGATGCCCCTAGTCCTGTTACCCCCGTCTCCAAGCACCTTCCTGGGGCTCAGTTATTATTTTTATATTTCCATTTTCCTTTTCACTGATCTAAGAGACCAAATCCTGCTGGGAATTCTGGGGTAGCCACATCCTTGTCCTGGGAGGTGCTGAATGGGACCTTCTTTGTAAGGTGCAAAGGACATCCCCAAACCTTCACTAGTCTACATACACACACACACACAATTAAAGTGATTGCCTCTGGTGGCATTTGGGAGAGATCCTGTAGTTTTATCTTGGGTGGGTTTTTGTGAAGGTCATTGGGCTGCAAACCTTTGTCCAAGGCATTTGTGTAGCACCCACAGCCTTGTGGTAGGTACTGGGTTGGGGTAGGTCAGACTGGTGCCAGCTCCTGGGGCACCCAGCTGGTGAGGGAGGTGGGCATAGCTGAGGATATGATAAAACCACGGAGACACCAAGAGAGAGCAGATAGGGGAAGGATTTCAGGAAAGAAAGAATGTGGAGTTGGGTCATCCAGCAGCTGAACAAGGATCCCGGGCATGGTCTCCATCCCCAGGGTGGCCATGGTGTGTCATTTCTCTTCCATGTTGTTCTGTGGCTGCCCCTCCCAGGGCCCCCTTTCCTCCTCCCACAGCCATATGCGGTGCTGTGGTCGGGCCCTTCCCTAGTCCCGGCCGCCCCGGGTCGATGATCTGACACCACTTGTCCTGTCCCATCTGGCCCTGAGCTTTTCTGGGTGTGTGTGACAAAGGCTTAATCTGTCCAACGGGCCCAGGGCGGAGAGGAGGGCGAGGGGAATTACACTCTGCCGGGGCCTCCCGCAGCTGGGGCCCGAGTGGGGGGCGGGGCGGGGCGGGGGTCGAGCCCAAGCCGGGCGTGGGGGGAGCGGCAAGTTGGTCTTCAGTTTGCAGGTTGTCACAGGAAATAGAAGTGGAGGCGGAGGGCTGAGGGCGGGGGGGAGGGCGGAGTCCTCCACCACCAGCAACACGGGGCGCTCATGGGGATAAGATCTTTTTATGACAAGAGCCAGCCGGGGCCTCCTGACTGGGCAAAGCCTGGTTAGGATTTATTATTTCTTGGGTTTCGCCTGCTCTGGCTGTCTTCCGTGGGCTGCCAAGCTGGGGAAGTAAACCCCTTGGAGGCAAGACCCTCTGATACAGCTCTTTCCTAGGCTCTCAGAGTGGGGCTGTCGCTGGAGCCTGCAAGGGCCACAGGTTATGTCTGGCACGGCCCCCCCGGGCCATCTGTCAGCTCCAGAGACCAGAGAGCCCCAAGGCTCCTTGGAGACTGATGTTCTCAGCCCAGCTCTACCATCTTCCAGATGGGAAAACTGAGGCCTCAAGAGAGGAAGTTTCTGTTGATAGAGAGTCAGGACTGGCACAGAGATCTCTGTGCTCCACTGTGGCTTCTCTGTGGGCCCACTGCATGCCGAGAGTCCCCCATTAGAGCTCTGTTCCCTGGGGGGAAACACTTGGTCGCCAGACTCCACTCAACACCAGGCCCTTGCAAGCCGGACCCCAGGTGTTCATCTGGTCAAATTGACTAATGGTGGTCTTTTCTCAGTTTGCAGATGATGTTCATTCAGTACAGAGCATTTTCTCAGTCTTCAGTCTTTCTCCCCAGAGCTTTTGTGCAAACCTTTGGCACCTGTGGCCACTGGTCTGGGCGGGAAATGGCCTCTGAGTTAGCACATATGCTGTGACCTTCGGTTGAATACCTCAGTATTTCCTGCTCTTCTCCAAATTATCACCACAGTGAGCATTTCCAAGTCACTTACTGTATGCCTGTCTTAGTGCCAAGGTGCTGATACACACTGATCTGTCAAATTGCCACAGACCCCCTGAGGTCACTGCTGTTATTATTGCCATCCTCCAGATGAGAAAACTGAGGCCTTGGGGATTTAAAACTTGCCCAGGGTCACACCACTGACAGGGCAGGCCCTGACTTTGGGTGCCGCCTGTATGCATCTCCGTCCTGACCCTGCCTGTGTCTTGTAGCCCAATCCAGTTTGAAAGCATAGGTCCTTCATCATAAGCTTTCAGTCCATTACACTGTAGAATAATCCCTCTCATTAAGATGTCTATAATCACAGGCTGGTGCTTGAGGCAGGACTGGCTCTGTGTAAGATGTCAGGGAACTTTCCTGAGGCTCACTAAGACAGGTTTGGAGTGAGTAGAAGAGGGGAGGCCTCTGTCGCCCTGGGCCCTAGGGGACTTCCAGGGAGAAGGGTGACGGTGACGTCTGGCATGGGCCCCATCTGGATTTCTCACAGGTGGCAGAAGTGGGCTATTTTGTTAATTAAGCCTTGGTGATTCTGGTGAGTGTGGTCTCAGGGACTCCGGACTGGGAATGTGCAGGTGGGGCTGCATTTTGGAGCCTGGGTGATGCCAGATGATCAGCTCTGCCTTCCTGGAGCCTCCCCAGGGAGGTCCCAGGCTCTCTACACTGAGGGGTGGGGACAGCATGTCCCCTTCTTCTTTGGGTAAGACCTGGCAGGAACATCCTGTCTTTCATGGCCCCCACAGGCTTCCTTCCTGTCCCTG